CACACCACAGCTCCCTTGGGAGAGTGACGGGTCACTCTCATGTAACCCCGTTACAGCATCGTTGTCATTCTTCCAAAAACTTCAATCAGGATGTAGTTCACATCATATCAAAACAGTTAATAGTTGTTAATCATGGGTTTTTGGAGTTCGTGAGTTCTCTTTTGTGTAGGTGTATTCCCAACGACACTCACTGCCCAGCTAGATTAATCACGTCCATGACGAAGTATAGTGAACATAGCTTGATGTTCTTATGTGTGGTGAGTTTAATTCGAGAACAATGTATCAAGAACAGCTTAGTTTAACCCAACCGTGACGCCTTCATAGTAAAGAGCAGGATTAATCGCGTGAAGCATCTTGGTTACGGCTATAGGGCTTTTCATTGTTTAGTTGTTTTTTGTAACTTTTAATTCATTGAATCTAGAAGATTAAGCGATATACGATGTGGACGGTTTCGGTGATCGAACGACATGCTATAGCCTGTAAATTAAATAGGCTTAAAGTATGAATGTAACAAATGTTTGCACTCTATGGATGCACTCCCTGCCTTTAATGAGCGCACAAAAGAAATTCATTTCAGACTGAAACATTTTAGCTCGCACCTCACTTCCAGGATTAATGTATGTTAATTCATTAATTTTAGCCAAGTCTAAGAAGGTCGACTTTGCTGCAATTCATGCTGAAGAAGCAAGTATATTTGTTATGAGATATTCAAGCTGATGCTGAATATGCTTATATGCTTGTTGACGCTATCGTACGATACAAACTTTTAGATTATAAATGATCATTCTTCTACTATCGGCTGCTATTAAGTTCGTTCAGATAGTGTTTGTTAAAAATTTGTATCGTTCGAAAGTATCAGCTCGTATCCATTACGCACGCACCTTACGCCCGCAACGTATATTTCTGTATGTCACTTATTCGATGGCTTATCCAAAACCTTCCCATTTCAAAGAATATTTTCAAACGATGGGACCGTCTGTTAACAGAATGACGTAAGAGGCAGGTAAAATCTTATCATGTGCTGCTTAATCACATCAGCACACTAGGAAGCAAGTTGCAACTTTGTCCTGCTGATTTCCGTTAGGTATCAGATTAACTTTACCTATCTGGCTTTCACTCACGCAACTTCAGCAAATATAGGAAACTTTTGCAGACTTACTGAAAAGTAGTTAGAGATCTCCGCTAACGTTTTTACAATCTGGGTGCTCTTGTTATGAATCATCGCCGGTAACTGACGACAAATATGATTTAACTGCCGCATACTTTCGGCTGTCGTAAGTGACATTTTTAACTATTCTTTGTGTTGGCCGGACAACAAAGAGAAAAGTGTATCGAGCGTGCTAATATTTGAAGCATGAAAACGACGAAATGTCAACACTGCCAGAGATGATTTGAATGATACAGTATTACAATTTCTGTCAAATGATAGCATTTTTGTGATAAAGGCAATGCATGTTGTATTTTTAGCAATCTGATTTGGATATTGCCATGAGATAAGTAATACATTTGCCATGAAAACCTAGATACACAAGTGTTGTAATAACGGCTTTAGACTTTATGCTGAGTTAAATCTCAACTTCGGGAAGAACGGCGGTCTACGTAACGATGCAGAAGACCATGCCGCTTTAAACGATTCCAGAGTCATCGTCACCAGGATTGCAGGAAGAAGAACTAGATGAAAGCAAACCATTTCTTCATTATACATCTTTCCTCCTCTTGGACAAGTTCTCAAAGCAACTAACCAACAAAGAATACCATGCTAACATGCAAGAAAATGTTTGGGCTGTGCGCAACAGCGTTGATAATCGTATCCAGCACCACTGAAGCGTACTCTCATGAGGATAAAGCAAACACGGACGGCCTTGAGCTTGGAGCTGGACTAGGCGTCGGAGTTGCCGCGGGCCTCAAACTCGATGGCGATGACCACCATCAAGATGCTCACACTGATGGTCTAGAGCTTGGAGCTGGACTAGGCGTTGGTGTTGCCGCAGGCGTCAAACTTGATGGCGATGACCACGATCACGATGCTCACACCGATGGTCTAGAGCTTGGAGCTGGACTAGGCGTCGGAGTTGCCGCGGGCCTCAAACTCGATGGCGATGATCACCATCACGATGCTCACACCGATGGTCTAGAGCTTGGAGCTGGACTAGGTGTTGGTGTTGCCGCAGGCGTCAAACTTGATGGCGATGACCACGATCACGATGCTCACACCGATGGTCTAGAGCTCGGGGCTGGGGTAGGCGTTGGTGTTGCCGCGGGCATCAAACTCGATGGCGACGACCACGATCACGATGCTCACACCGATGGTCTGGAGCTTGGAGCTGGCTTAGGAGTGGGAGTTGCTGCGGGCCTCAAACTCGATAGCGATGACAACCATCACGATGCTCACACCGATGGTCTAGAGCTTGGAGCTGGACTAGGGGTCGGAGTTGCTGCAGGCCTCAAACTCGATGGCGATGACCACCATCACGATGCTCACACCGATGGTTTGGAGCTTGGAGCTGGAG